GCAGACATGGCTAAAGGTACTGCCAGCCTGAGCAGGAGCCAGGCCTCTGGTACCATGGCAGCAGTAGAGGCCATACTTCCTGAAATTTCTACCACCTCCTATGAGTATCAGGCTGGGACATTGAGAGGCCAGGGGACAAGGACAGGAAGGGAAGAGGTAAGTCAGCTACAAAATATCACCCTAAATGAACACACGTGCACACGCATGTGCACACACACACACACACACACGACTGCAAGGAAAAAGGAGAGAACTACAACCTATATACGAAGCTGCTTTTTAAAAAATTTTTAATTATTTTTTATTGTGAAAATACTGTACAGAGGGGTTACAATTACATGGGCAAGATAATGAGTACATTTCTTATCAAGCATAGTTTCCTCCTTTGTTTCAACATGACAGCTTGTACTTCTCATTGTTGCAACAGGTCCACCTGTATCCTTAAATGACTTGTTTTTCCCCATCTCCTCCACAAGTTATACTGACATCAAATATAGTGAAAGCAGGGGTTATACTGTGGGGGAGGGACATACAAAGCAACAAAGAGATAATCTTATAGATGCGTTAGAAACAAATGCATGAAATAAAAAAGCATTAAAATACATATGTAAGGGTTCATTTTCCTAACATCACATTATCTGACCTTTTCCACTTGACTCATACATATACTAGATATTGCAAATAAGGGAAACCATGGGACCTATGTTTCTTTGGGCCTGGCTTACTTCACTCAATATAATTTTTTCCAAGTCTCTCCATTTCCGAACAAATAGGGCAATGTCATTCTTTCTGATGGAGGCATAGAATTCCATTGTGTATATATACCACATTTTCTTGATCCAGTCATCTACTGAAGGGCTGGAGGGGATGTGGACAGAAGGGAACCTTACTGCATTGTTGGTGGGAGTGTAAACTTGTTCAACCACTTTGGAAAGTAGTATAGAGGTTCCTCAAAAGACTCCACCTAGAGCTCCCCTATGACCCAGCAATCCCATTTTTGGGCATTTACCCAAATGTTTTACAAACAAGACCACACTAAAGCTACCAGCACGACTATGCTTATTGCAGCACTATTTACTATAGCTAAGATATGGAACTAAGCTGCTTTTTAAAACTACTCTTCTAGTTTTTCTGGTTTCCTGTTTCCAAGCTCCTCATGACTTAACAGGTTCCAGACAGAAGAGACTTTCTGTATACACCAGAGGAAGGAACCGCTAGACACTGACATGGCTGGAGGGTGGGAAATCAGATTTAGAGTGCCTCTTGGGCCATGGCCACTGGGGGGGAGGCCGGGAACAGCTCCCTGGCCGAGGCTCTCTCTCCCATGGAGGCTGGCCCTCCCCTCCAGGGTGGAGGCAGAGCACTAATTGCGCTCTGGTCTATCATCAGCAGGAGCCTCATGGCTCATTTGTGAGAAGCCAAGTAAATTATTTAGTCTGCACGGTACCGAAGCGTCTCCGTGCTCAGGGCATCCCTAATGATTTGGATAAAATAATGTAATTTTCGGGCTCTGTGGAGTTCTGAAGTCTCTAGCCATTAAGGCCAATGCAAAGTGCTCTCTAGACATTAAGTGCAGGATCTGTTTCTTGGAATAGTTTTTGTTAGGGCCGCCTGAGAAATATGGTCCCTTCCCCATTGTTCTCCCTTGGTGCGCACAGTGGTCATTTCCCTTAGAAGTCCCAGGTATCTGGCCCATGTGGGGGCAGTGGGAAGCCCTGCCCCCAGGCTCTGAGGTCTTCACAGAGGCCACACCTCCTCCCCACCCTCTCCCTATACAGTCATCTCCATAACTAGTCCAGCCCCTTTTTCCCTTGGCACCCTTGCCCTCTTGCCCTTAGCCTCTTACCCCATTTCTGCATGCCTCCAACTTGTGCAGGTCGGCAGTATGCTCTTCCCCCAAGAAACTCTTTTCTGCCTGAACCATGTGTTTCTTTTTGCTGAACTTTACAGTTTTCTTGGACTGTTACTTGAACATACCTGGTTTCAGAGCCACCCACTGCCCCCATCTTTAAGGATTCATTTAAACATCATATTCATGCGAGCATCAAAGTCATGTAAGCCTTGTAGAAATGTTTCACAATGCTAAGATGCTAAGTGTTCTCTCTCTGTGTCTGTCTTCCCATCTCAGAAATGTAGGTTGCTTATCATTTAGATATTGTCAAAAAGGAACTAACACACAGGGGCATAGCAATATGAATAAAGAGATATGTGAGCCAAAGCATAGGTGTAGCTACTCAGGAGGTTGAGATCTAAGGATCAAAGTTTGAAGCTAGCCTGGGCAGGAAAAGTCTATGAAACTCTTATCTCCAATTAACCACTAAAATGCTGGAAGTAGAGGTGTGTCTCAAGTGGTAAAGCACCAGCCTAAAATGAAAAGCTCAGGGACAGGGCCTGGGCCAAGAGTTCAAGCCCCAGAAGCAGTGCACATACACACACACACACACACACACACACACACACACACACACACACACACACACTCACTATGTGTGAAGGGATTATTGTGGGCCTGGTATACATGGAAGGAAGACTCCTAGAAGCTGTTAAGACATTTGAATGTGCTGCCCTTCCTAAACCCAGGAGCTCATCAAAACAGCCTGTCCTTCACATCTCACAGGCACTGGGATCTATTCTGATGTTTAAACCAGAGATAGTTCACAGAGATGATAGAATTGCTGAGGGAACAAGCAGGGGAGACTGAGGTGAACACAGCAGAGGCTACAGTGACCTGGACCACAGGGTCAGAGGTAGGGGTGTGTGTGTGTGTGTGTGGCTTGGATCTAGAGCCAGGGGGCGGGATCTAGAGCCAGAACATCCAGATGCCATCAGAAATACACTCTGCAGAGCTAATGGGGAGAAATGGCCTTTGGTCCTTTTCTTCCAACTTTCCATGTCCCACCTGTACCAACATGGTGTCCTGAATTTCAGGGTACTGAAACACTTCACCCTGCCCCATAGAGAACAGCAGAGGGAGAGACAAGGAAGAGAATTGAGGGCAAATAGAGCTGCTCAAGAATATCTCTCACTGGGAGAACTATCCAATGAAATAGTCTGACAGAAGTGTGTGTGTGTGTGTGTTTCTGTCTGCCTGTCTGTCTCTGTGTCTGTATGTCTTCACATAGGATGATATTTTGCGACTGACTTACCTCTCCCCTTCCTCTTCTTTTCCCCAATTTTCCCCATGCCTCAGTGTCCCAAATATTCCCAAATTTTCTGTTCAAGATGAATCATTGTCCTGTGTACAGATGGCAATAGAGGACAGACAGTACCCAACTCGAGCCATGTTTCCAGTACTACTTTTGGGTTATTTTTGGTTATTTTGAAAAAGGAGCCTTGAGGACTTTTCTGCCCCTTCGGGTTGTGAACGGTGATCCTCCAGACCTCCGCCTCTTGAGTAACTAAGAGTATAGGCATGAGCTGCCAGTGTCCAACTCAACTTTTCTATTTCTGCAAAAAAAATTGTTGAGATTTCAGTAGGGATTATACTGACTCTATGTATCATTTTGCATAGCACTGGTATCTTGGCAATATTCTTTCAATTTCTCAATTGAAAGAGTTAATGTATGTAATGGAAATGTATTTCCATTTATTTCTATCTTCCTTTAATTTATTTTAGCAATGTTTTGAAGCCTTTAGGGCAAAAGTCTTTCAAATTCTTGGTTAAATCAGTTACTAAGTATTTTATTCTTTTTGATGTTTTGTGAATACAATAGTTTTTCCTTTTCCTTTTTTTTTCTTTTTTGCTTGTATCAGGGCTTTAAATCAGAAGGTCCCCTATTCTCTCTGCTTGTTTGCTCACAGCTGGCACTCTATCACTTGAAAAAAATACATCCAGACTGCCTTTTTGTTGTTGTTGTTGGTCATGGGGCTTGAACTCTGGGCCTGGGTGCTGTCCCTCAGTCTTCAGCTCAAGGCTAGCACTCTACCACATTGATCTACAGCTCCACTTCTGGTTTTCTGGTGGTTTATTGGAGATAAGAGTCTCATGGACTTTCCTGCCGGGGCTGGCTTTGAACTGCAGTCCTCAGATCTCAGCCTCTAGAGGTACAAGCCACCGGCGCCCGACTCAGCCTGTCTTTTTGCTAGTTTATTGGAGATAGAGTATTGGGAACATTTTTGTCCTGGACACCTTCTAACTGAGATCCTATGGATCTTAGCCTCTGAGTAGCTAAAATCACAGGTGTGAGCCATACCAGGCAAGCCTTGCTCTACCACTGAGCTTCAATCCCAGCCTATTACTGCAACTTTATATCCAAGAAACAATCAGGGTTTGAAGGATGAGGATGGTGAGAAATGGATACATCTGTGACATATTTTGTAGGTAAAAGATCTTCAATGTGGGATGTAGGAGAAAAAGAGTCATTAAGGATGGCATCTAGTTAACTGGCTGAACTGGTACCATTGGCTTACATGGGGAAGACAGGAGAATGTAGACTTGGGACAGAAAGGAGCCATATTAAATTTGGACCATATTAAATTTGGACCATATTAAATTTGGCAATGGTTGAGGATAATGTAGAAATATATAAACAAGAGGAGAAGGATAGAAAGCAGTTAGAATATAGATCTTTTGGGGAAAGCTCACCTCTATAAATTTGGTGGAAAAGTAATTGACAGAAGGAGAGACAAAGGAGAAACAATGGAGGGATAAAGCACCAAGACCCTTTGCTCAGGCCAGATACACTGATGAGACGAAAAGGAACCAGAATAAGAAGGAGAAAGTTTCAAGAATGCACCCACGGTTAACTACGCAAACACCAGAAGAAGGAAGATGAAATCTAAGAAAAGACACCTTCCATGAGCAACAAGGAGAACAATAGTGCCGCACTCTTACTGAGAAGTTTCAGCAAGATGAGTAAGGCCTCTGCCTGAGAGAGGTGAGAAAGCTGGAGGCCAAGGGAGGAGAGGGCGGAAGTGGGGGTGGGGGCTCTCAGATAGCACCACAGCGCTGGATGAGCATGCTCAAGACTGGACAGATGTTAACTCTTCTCCCGGAAACAGAATCCATTTAAGAGAAGTAAAAGCATATCATATCCTGTTGATCTCTTTGAAAGATGTTAATAAATACTCAAAAAGCCGGTCATTACAGAGGAGTTTACTTCCATGCTCTTTTTGTGAAGAAGCAGCTCCCACCAAGAAATCTTCCAAAGAAGGAAATCAGCACCAACCCCCATACCAACTAATGCTACAAAAAACTGACTAAAAGTTCCTTCTTTTCTTCCTGTTGGCTGACACTGTTCAGAACTATTATTGGCTGTTTCATTTTTCTTTTAAATGAGCAAGCTGAATGACTGGGAGGAGAAAGGCAGGAAAGAGAGAGAGACAGACAGAGAGAGACAGAGAGACAGAGACAGAGACAGAGACAAAGAGACGGACACAGAGAAAGAAACTACAGAAGCCAGGAAGTACGGAACCTACAGGTGGGCATTTTCTTTTGTTCTTGTTGTTAATTTACTGTTGAGAATTACGTCTTGGTAATCACTCATTCAGAAATAATTTGTGAAAAGTAAATTCATTTTGTTCACCTATAATTTGTTTTCTGTTGTAATATCTTGTAATTTTAAAATGCAGAAGGAAGCAAAATCTACCACAGAGTCAGCCTTTATCGGCATTTTTTTGGGTATTTCCCTGTGTGTGTGTGTGTGTGTGTGTGTGCACGTGCATGTGTAAGTTTAATTGATTTTCATAGCTATATCTATACAGATGAGAGAGTTTATATCCATTTCTTCTGCTAACATCTTATACTATATCCATGTTGCTCGGGGTGCTTCATAATCACAATTTTAAATTGCTGTATAGTGTTACATTGAAATTTACTGTGCCTTACTCAAGCTTGTTCTATTAGCATATTCTGCTTTTCCCATATCACACCTTCTCTACTAGTCATAGATTGGGTCATCTTATTCCATAAAATATATATGTTTCTTCCACTTAGAGCCTTGCTTTGTGGGAAGGGGCAATTCAATATGCGAATGCTCATTTTGGGGGGCTTGTTTGGAGTATGTAAGTGAAGTGCTGCCACCTGTTCCCCTTGGGACCTCCAAAGTATTTTACCTGTAGCCGTCCATTCAACCAGAATAACCTGACTCTGAGGAGATTGGCGGGTGGGGGATCAGTTCAGTCTGTCATCTGCAGTGTTTGTTTTTATAAAGCCCCATGATTTTAACAAATGATTGGCATAAAAACAGCTAACCTTGATTATTAGAAATATTTCCTTGTCTCTGGTGCATATCTGAGAACCATGTGTATTAAGAAAAAAGGGAATATAGCTTGTCAGGCTACCTAAACTTCTCTTTTAATACTATATAAATAATGCAAATTATAGAGATGATTTTTGGGATCAATAAGACCTGTAGCAATTTCTGTCATCTACCTCAACCACTTATACTCTTAAGATGAAAATCTACTTGAGAGCAATTTGCTAATGCATTAAGAAGGTAGATTTGAAACCGGGCACAGTGGCCCACATCTGTAATACTAGCTATTCAGGAGTCTGAGATCTCAGGATTACGGTTCAAAGCCAACTCTGGAGGAAAGTCTGTGAGACTCTTATTTCCAGTTAATCACCAAAATGCCAGAAAAGGAGCTATATAACTCAAGAGATAGAGTGCTAGCCTTGAGCAAAAACTTTCAGAGATAGCACCCAGGCCCTGAATTGAAGTTCTAGGACTAGAAAAAAGAAAGAAAGAAAAAAAGAGAGAAAGAAAGAAAGAAAAAAGGTAGATATTCTAAAGCTTGAGAAGTTAGAACCCAGAGAAGTTGAAATTCTAAATGTATCAAAAGGAAGCATAGTATGTGTTAGTAATTGCCAAAGTACTTAGATTTCCTTATTCTTACAAAATTTTTCAAGATCCATCAGGAAATGGATGTTTAATAGATGACCAATCCAAAGACTCCATGGGAACAGCATAGATGGCTGGTAGTAATCAGTGACAGGAAGGGGCTGACTCAGGCTGTCCAAGAATGCTGTACATGACACTAACCTTCCTTGGACTCTTGTCCTCATAAGGAAAGTGGCCAAGTTTATATTGAGGCTGTATTCTGCATTCTCTTCTCATTAATTGAGAGCAAATAAAAGACAGGCAAATCAGATTGATACATGTGCTGTTGTATTCATAGCCTCTAGCATCTAGTGCTTTGATTCAACCAAGCTTGATGACTATCACCTCAATTAAATTTCTTCTCATTTTCATTTACTGGAGAAGAGCAACTGTTTAATATTATTGGTGAATATAAACATTTGGGTAATACCTTTTAATTTTATCTTTTGCCTGTATTAGGTTTAACCTCAGAGCTGCATGCTTAGCAAGCATAGCACTATACCCCTTGAGCCATGCCACTAGCCTAGATTTTTTTCTGATTATTTTGGAAATGGAGTCCCAGGAATTTTCCTACTTGGGCAAGCTTTACTCTGTGATCCTTAGGATCTGAAGCTCATGAAAAGCTAGGATCACAGGTATGAGCCACTGGCTCATTTATTATTTATTTACCAACATTCGTTCATTTGACTGATGCAATGGCCTTAAGCTCTGAAAAGTGTAATTCTTATTTTAAAGGGAACAAAGATAAAGCACAGAGAACATAGGATATTTACCAAGGTAGAATCAGTAGTGGCCCAATCAGATTGAGCCCAGAGACCTAGTCTTCCTTACAACTTCAATAATAGCTATCCCATGAAACTGATTAAACAAATGTTGTTATGTCTATATGTAATCTTTAGTCAGTCAAATGTGGACATTGATGTTTATTACTTGGCAAAGAAAGATGGCCATGACACAGTGAAGAGAAAAAAGCAGCATACAAAACAAAAATCTACAACCATTTTTATCTAACAATAATTGTGTGTATTTGCAGGGAGAAGTAAGGAGACATACATTAAGTTTAGATATATTTGGTTGGCAAAATCAATAATTTAGATTTTATTCACCTATATTAACTTATTATTTATCACTTATTTATTTACATATTTATTCCTCTTACCCCAAACACACTACTATTCTCATACAAATACATATAATAATATACATATATAATATATAGTTATACTATATGTACATATAGTTAAGTAGAATTGTTCAAATCTTTCTGGTTAATTTTTCTCTGGGTTCCAAGTCCTTTCACGTGACCAAAAAGAAGCCTCCTATTTCATTCCCTGAGTTTTGCACGTTATTAACACATTAAATTGTGATTAGTAGCTAGCACTGGCTTAGCACTTAACATGGGTCAGGAACCACGCTAATTTTGTCATAGACAGCTTCTTCATCAAGTCTCACTCTAATCCTCCCTTGACAAACAAGAGTTTTAAAACCCAGAAGGGTGAACTAATAAGCGTGACAAAAAGGCAGATCTGAGACTTGAGCCCAGTTCCCCTCTAGCCTAAAATCTCATGCTTTCATTAATTACACCATTCTGCCTTCCTGTCCACCTGCAATCTGGGAGGAACTAGTCAAAATTTCCCCAAGTATGGTTAGTAACGTGAGTATTGCACACTCAGGACTCCTCCTGAGTTTTGAGTTTGCTCTGTACAGCAATCCTGGGAGATGTGCCAGTCTCCTAAAGTTAAGTCTTTCCTAAAGGTAAGTGCCTTCTAAGCATTGTGCCATTATCTCTAGAACTCTGGCTAATGCTCCGGCCATGCTGGGAAATGCAGAGGAAAAGCAAGCATTTTGGCTGTGATAGCTCAGCTTTGCTGCAGAGCTTTTTCAAATCCTCTTTAGAAACCTCTAGTGCTGTCTCTGTGTCTCTCTCAGGGCCCTGACTACTTCCTTCCTTCTGTTAGAGTTACTTATGAACTGTCTCATCAGTTCTATTGGGGCAGGAGTTTCTGAAGGTAGAGTCCTTGCATCACACTCAGGACATGAAATCCACTGAGGAAAAAACATGTAAATAAATGTACTGGGGGAAAAATGTGCAAGTAAATCAGTGCACCAACAAACATGTGGGCTTTCAGTTACATATCATATTTATCTCTGTTGAGTTTTATCTAACCTCTTTCTATGGATCCACCCCTAGGAAAAATATTAGTTTTGACAATATCTAAGGAAATCCTCTCCTACTGGACCAAAGGCTTGGAAGACCTGTGGCCTGGATCTTTTGACAGTCTGGTTGTTGAGGGCCCCACAATAAAGGCCTGAGCAATAAATTGAATGCAAAACTTCTGAACTTGAAAAAGTCCTCAGGAAAAGTCTGGGCTAGACACAAAACCTTTTGCATTTATAAAGTTCAAAGTCCTCTAAGGAGGGAGATCTCAAAGAAGCAGGAGAATGAGAGCCCAGGAAGACCAAGAAAGGAAGAGAGGAGAGAGAGGAAGAGAAGAAACTGTTCTAGAACTCTAAAGATGAGTATAGTAGGAATATTCTCAGTCCACCATTGTTTCTCCTAGCATACATAATTAAAACAATATTAGTTTTTTTTTTGGGGGGGGGTCCGGTCATGGGGCCTGAACTCTGGGACTAGGTGCTGTCCCTCAGCTCTTCAGCTCAAGCCTAGCGCTCTACCACTTGAGCCAAGCGCCATTTCCGGCTTTTTCCTTTTTGCTTATGTGGTGCTGAGGAATCGAACCCAGGGCTTCATGCATGCAAGGCAAGCACTCTACCACTGAGCCACCTTCCCAGCCCCAAGATTAGTTTATTTTAATCTTGAGAAAAATATTATTTCCCACACTTCTCCTGAGAGCCTGTAGACACCAGAAACTATCGTATAAAGAGTTTCTGAAGGCTTCATGAATTCTTTAAAGTTCAGTTGATTTTATTTCAAAACTTGTTTCAACAGTAACTCTGCTCTCTGGTAAATTCTCTGAGAAATTTGAAGGTGACTGCCCTTGTTAATTATAATAGGCACAAATCCCTTGTTGTTAGCTTGTGGGCACAGAATCAGAAAAACAATTTGCTACCTTGCTTCCCTTCAAGCTATAGACAACACTGCCTCCTACCAAGTGGAGAACAGAGGATCATTTGGGTTCCTTCTGAGTCTGGCTCCTGCCTGTCTTTGACCTTGGTATTCCTGTTCCTAAAACTTAGATTTGAATTTCAGAGACAGAAAGTTTTTTCCCCTCAAAGGAAAGCATATCAGCAGCTTTATTTAAAAAAAAAGACCAGAATATATTTATCATGAAACCTAAAATGAGTATCTTGTTCTTGGAGGCTGGTGTCCTCTCATACATGTGGATGCCAAACCTCTGCAAGACCTCAACTCTCCCTCCCCCTTTTCCTGGGAATCAATAGCAATCTGAGAGCTGTTTTCTCTTAAAGCAACACAAGCATGAATCCAATTACAAAAAGATTCCAGTTTTAAGGGCATGGTTATCTACAAATGTGTCCATCATTCATAGGCTCCTTTTTGCACAGGAAAAAAGAATCTCAGGAAAGGAATATCAGTGAAAAATGTGAGAATAGACCAATAAAGATTATTGAGGAAAAAG